ACCGCTCTTTGTCTGACCTGTCACCTAGGACCTGTTTGCCTTGGGAGACCCTACCAGGGGCATATATCCCCCAATATCATAGCTCCTAGGATCACTCGGGTACTCAAACCCCTCCACCACAATAAGGTGGCGGTTCAAGGAGGAGAACCTTGCAATTATTAAATGGCCAAAAGGAAACCGCAGAATCACTGTATGCATTTCTTGTTTGCATTTTGATATCTGTGTGTGTTTGTGCGTGTTGTTTTGCAGACAGTCCCCAGCTTGAGCAGCCTGAGATCTTCCTGCTCCTCCAGACAGTCATCAATATCCTTCTGCCTCCTCGGATCATCTCCACCTCCCGCACTAAAAACTTCATGTTGGATGCTTCCCCAGCTCACTGCTCCACCCCGGGTGACACAGGGAAGGATCTGCGCAGGGAAGGTTTAGCCGAGTCTACGAGTCAGGCTGCATATCTGGGTATGAATCAGAGGGTATCAATTTTATGGCTTCTTTCATGTCTCACAGTTTCCCTTCTTATCCTCTGCCCTTCTTTCTTCCCTCCCCAGCTCTGAAAGTGGTGTTGGTTTGTTTTGAGCGCTCACTGGGAAACCAGTGGTACCGGTTAAGCCTGCAGGTTAAGGAGATGGCTTTGAGGAAGGTGGGCGGCTTGGCCTTCTGGGACTTCATTGACTTCATTGTTCGAACCCGCATCCCTATCTTTGTCCTGCTGAGACCATTCATACAGTGCAAGGTAAAGCTGAATTTGGGACTAATCTGAGCTTTGTGTTACATCAACAGTAACCAGGGCCTTCTACTGGACTGACAAATTAACTTGTTTAGTTTTGGACTGGAGGCTGCATTTTGCACACTGTGTCACAGTCAGGTTTGCATAGTTGTTGTTGTAGAATTAGGAAACAGGACAGAAGGTTCAGAGAGCACTAAGGAACTGTTTCTGCTGTGAGTTTATCTTAAGTTTCCCTATACCCTCCAGCGACTGAAACCAAATTAGAGTACCTTTAACTTTGCAATGTTTTCTCTCACATCTTCACTTTCTTCTACCTTACTGGTGCACATCTCTATGTATCTTTGTTTTCTAGTTGTTGACCCAGCCTGCTGAGTCCCAGGAGGAGATTACAGCACGTCAACACATTGCTGATCAGCTGGAGCGACGCTTCATCCCACGACCTCTTTGCAAGAGCTCCCTGTTTGCAGAGTTCAACAATGAACTCAAGATCCTCAAGGAGGCTGTACACAGCGGCTCTGGTCAGATATGGCCACTTGTCCTTTTTTATATCTTCATTGTCTCACAGATTGTCAGATGATTGCATGCTCAGATTTGTTTTTTAAATGATGGCCAACTTCAGATTGAAAATGGTACCTTTCACACGTTTAATTCAGACTTACATTATATTAAAATATCTTTATTTTTCATTGTCTTAACCATCACCCAACAGCTTACCAGGGCAAAACATCCATCAGCACTGTGGGCACCTCGACGTCAGCATATCGCCTCAGTTTGGCCACAATGTCGCGCTCCAACACTGGAACTGGCACAGTCTGGGAGCAAGACAGCCAACCATCACGGCAACCTTCCCAAGACACACTCAGCCGCACTGACGAGGATGATGAAGAGAGTTAGAAACACACAATTTTACTGTTTTTAAGCATTTGTAGACAATTGGAAGTGAACTCACTGCCCTCTATCTATGGAGATAAAATACTATCAAAAATGTTACAAATGCGTGTTAACGTTTTGTCTGTAACAAGCGATTTGTGTGTGTGTGTGTCATGAGGATCACAAATGCATGCTGTACAAACTGCACTCTCTCTGTAATGCCACACTTTATTATATTGCATTTTTGTATAGCATTGATGGTTTCTATAATTGCGACGTACAGTGGTGATATTAAGAGGTGAATTAAGTCGGGTAAGTCTCCACTGAAGGCCCAGGTACCAAATGCACCGTCTGCCACTATTTAATATATACAAAAAATGTCCATTTGGAATAGCGT